AGCAGGAATATGGAACATATTCATAATTCATCATTTCAGTGTTAAACCTATTAAAATGCATCAAACCAATCGTGCAGTTACTGTAAATCTGTTTATACCACCCATCTGGCCATATGCTCAGCATGTTTAATTTCACCAAAATGTGACTAAACATGCTTCCATTGGTCTTCTATGACTGTTTTCAAAGCTCAACATTTGAGCTGCTGCTGCTCATATGGCGTGGCCAGATTAATCTCCTCAAGGGCCCCTGGACAAAACTTTGTTGTTCATCCCAAATGTGCCCCCACAACACAGTATAAGTCAGTTTCATTACTTCCCCATGCACCCAGAAACCAAGCAGTGATGTAAAGATGTTCATTCAATGCAGCTTCTCAAATATGAACATTTGTTGTTTTCCTGGTTTTCTGTAAATTTATTTTTTATTGGTACCAAAAAAAAAAAAAACAAAGCAATTTGGATGTTAACTTGAGCACCTGGGAACAAATAGGAGTTTTCTACCCCATTTTCTGACAATCAATTAATTATTAAAGAAAAGAACTGTCAAGTGGATTGGTAATGAAAACAGTTGTTGCTTGCAGCCTTACTTAGCCTGAGTGTTTTGTCTGCTAATTACATGGCACAAAACCCACAAAAACAAGCTCTGTAACAAATGACTACAGTATAAAGTACAACAGCTCCTGTCTTGAAACTACTGTACATTTTGTCACAAGGTTCTTCTACAATATCAGACTACAAGATGTGTGAATAAATATCCATAGTAATATTTGCTTCAGTGGTGAACATTTCTGTATTTGCGATCAATCAAATTATGTAGGCCCAGATGATATGGAATCATGACTGGTAAGTGTTCCATTGTAGTGCATAGTGCTTCTAAGCCTCCTGTTAGGCTCTAAGCAGTAATCCACTGTAGGGGCCTGGCAACCAGCAGGTGATGCTTCAGTGATGCACATGGTCTTGCCCCTGGCAAACAACATGTGGACTGAGATGGGTAATGGAGCTCAGCTTTTTCGTGACTACAGCCAGTAAGCTATGACCATCTGTTGTGCACCTCAGCCACCCTAGATAGGCTCCTCTCCTCCTTCCAGGTGTTAATTTGACTTGTTTTCACTTAAGTCCAATAAAGATTTTTTTCCCCTCCAGGAGAACCACACAAGTTTGATCCATCCTTCAGGGGTCCAATCCGTAGAAGGTAACACCATACTTCCTTCTTTGCATATAAAGCAATACCAATAGTGTAATCTATGTATTTTGTTCGAAATATTTTTGCATCTGCACTAATTTCTAAAACTCTCTTTCTCTGTACTTTCAAAACCACCGATGTAACCTTTGAACTTCAGCTACTGGGGGAAAGAGGCATTTGCAGAATGTTCTTCATTAAATGGAGATAATGTCTAAAGTTCACCAGTAGGACCACACAAACACTCCTGACGTGGCTTCCTGTCACGTGTCTATAACTTCCCTCCTGCCCTGTTCATTCTCTTTTTCCATGCATGCAGCCTCAGAATGTTGGATATCCACTGAGCTCATTTCTACAATAAATTAGACTATCACCAATAATTGGTGTGTTTATTGCCACTAAAAATACCTCCTCGCCCAGCCGGCAGTGCTTTGGGTTAAAAAAAGTTCAGGATCTGTTCTTATAAAAAACAGACAATGGATGATCGTGTGTGTAAGCCATCCCACAGAAATATTCTACATTGCCATCATTAATGTGAGATCACCTGATGGACCAGTGAAGGTGTGTCACTGTTGGAGTTGTTGGAACGACAGGAACACTCTGGTTATTGACTTGACTCTGATTATTCAGTGGTGTTACAGAGTCTTTGCCTGATAAATGATCTCTCTGTCTAACAGCAAACAGTGGTGTTGTCTGTTCCTACACCAGCTGCAGAGGTCACAAACCTGACAACAACGCTAGTTAGTGACAGCTGGTATGACCCTGCTGTTTGTCACTTTAACCAGCAACAGACATGATCAGCAGATGCTGTTACCGTAACGATTTGCTATTTGACATGTGCCAAAGGGAGAACTGCATGTGGGGGGCAGGTCAAATCACAATGCTGGCTCACCATCGTGAGACGGCCATCTGTGATCGGCTCACGCCTAATTTCTGTATCTGTTAATGGAGCTATTTCTGTTCATGGAACACAGTTGCCATGTATGCACTGTCCCCATCCACCATAGCTACATTTTCCTGTCTATCAATGGCACCAGGTTACCATGTTGGCGCTTATCTCCATTCACTACCTCTTCCTATATCTGCTAATGCACCAGGTGCTTCTTAGGTTGCCAGGCTTGCAGTATTTCCTGTTCCTTTTAATCTCTTTCTACATTAGTGGCACCAAGAAGCCATGTATGCATTATCCCTCAGTCACCCAAACAACCTTTCCACATCTCTGATAGTTCTACTACATTATTAGTATTATAACAATAATAGTTGCCAGTTATTCAGTTATTCTCTTGATTGCATACTGCAAACAGTATACCTGGCATCTTGTTCAGGTTCCTTTGGCATGCTCAGTTCACCTCAGTGACCACCAAATTCATCCACGTTGCTATTACCACAGTTCAGACTTGAAACTCAATTCAAAAGAGCCAGTCTTTTCTTGATGAATGGCAACTTGTCATGTTTTTTTTTACACTGGATGCCCTTCTGGATAACAGCCAAATTTTCTAGTCAACAATCAACCTAAGCTGCATGTCTTTGGACTGCGGGAGAAAGCCGGAGTACCCGGAGAGAACCCATGTAGGCACAGGGAGAGCATGCATAAACCGGGTCGGCTGGGGCTCAAATCCGGAACCTTTTTGCTGTGGGGCAACAGCGCTAACCACTGTGTCATTGTGCCACCTCAACACTAAGATATACAGTATAATTAGTATTATATAATTGAGTATACAATACATTCACATATACATACACATACATTTACATACATAACACTCTGCAGTAATCCAATATGATTCCATATAATGAGTCAGTGATACACAATTACATGCCAAACAATGAGAGAGCTTCATATGGAAGCTCAGTATATGAGTTAAATGATGTTTAGCCCTAATCTGGCCCCAGAGAGGGTGGTGTCAGGCCGTGTTGTCACAAATCTTTAGAGCCCCACAATAAGCAACACCATTTTCCAGACCCAACCTTCCCTTAACACAAAGCATCCTGAACCCTGTCCATACCCAAACAAAAAGCAGATACTGTATGTGGTGTGACACAGAGCGTCTGCAATGTGTTTGCTCAGGTTAAGCAGTGGCTGGTCCAACTGGCTTGTAGTGGCAGTCACCTCTGAGAGCCTGGTCTGCTCAATTGTCCAACCACTGACACTCTGACACTTACAGTATTTTTTTTTTTTTTTTTTTACAAGAGGGCAGTCTCTTACATCTTTGAGGACCAAGCCTTAACGGCTAGCACTGTGGTGTCAAAATATAGCCACAATACTCATCCTTGAGTGCTGTCCTTAAGCAGTGTAGTCTTTTATTTCTGTGTTTGAAGACTTACGGGAGATACTGTAGATGTTAAAAAAGAGGCAGAGATAGCCAGACTTTAAGCTGCTAGTATGGGTCAAACTCCAAAACCCTGCACTTTCCATAATGCATAATTCCAGGTAGTCCCCTCCCCGGACTCAGTTAATCCTGATGAAGTCACCAAAACATTTAGAGAATATTATTTTCAGGGGAACATAAGGTTTTTGGTCTTAAGTTAAATTCTGGTGAACTAATCTCTAGTGCAATGAACCTTTTCCCCATGTCAATTAAAAATCTCCAGTTCTCACATTAATTAGTTTTTACATGCACACCACAAATACTGTACAGCATGGTGGCAGGTCACACAGCCACATTTTCATAAGCACACATTTATCATTTTGATCTGTAATTGCATCTTCTCAGCTGTGTGGCTGTGGGGAAATCTGCACTTATTCTGCTATTCTGTCC